TTGTTTTAAGACCCAGCTATTCTTTCTTATAACTGGGTACCATCTGGTTTCTTCACCACAGTTTTCTGTAGCACCCAGCTACTTAATGATTTCTTTGTGAAGATGAGTATCAACTAGGGTCATGTCATAAGAACTCACTGTTCTTAGAATTGGGCTAGGATTAATTGCAAACCCCAATTCATTCATACATCTATAGTTTATATATATATGTCTCTGGTTCACTTTAGGGACATCATTATCATAAACAAATATTTCAAATTGCTCTGTCACAAACAAATTAAATTGTTCAATGTTTTAAAAAAATAGAACATGGATATATCACTAAATTTGAAAATTACTAAAAAAGAAAAGAACCTTCTCTGGAACTTTTGAAATTTTATAATAAATTAATTTCTCTCCTGCAGGCTCATCTCTGCAACACACAGAAGGGAGCCCTGGAGAAGGATGCCCAGGAGTCACTATGGTGTCTGTGACCAAAGAATATGAACCTAATAAAGTGGCCATCAGAGACCTCACTCTCACGTTCCACAGGGACCAACTCACTGCTTTGTTGGGGACAAATGGTGCTGGAAAGACCACCATTATGTATGTCCTTTTTTATCTGGGTAACATCGTAAGCATTTTCTTTCTTTCTTTTCATGTATTAGTTTACCTGTGAGCTCAGAGGCTGGATCTCTATATTTCTTTTCTATTGTCCATTTGTTTTTGCATGTGTAAATCCAGATTAATTAGGAAGCCATCACTAAACTTGTAGATCTCTATGCTTTTACATTCTCAGTACAGACTTTTGAGACGAAGAGAAACTCAACTCTGTAGCTAGAGCGGCTTAATGTCCTCATCCATACACTTGAACACTATCCTTTGTTTTCTCTGATAGATCCATGTTGACAGGGCTCCATCCTCCCACCTCTGGAACTATTATTATCAATGGAAAGAATCTCCAGACAGACTTGAGCGCAGTCAGAATGGAGCTGGGGGTGTGTCCTCAGCACAATGTCCTGTTTGACAATCTCACAGTCCTGGAGCATCTGTTGCTCTTTGCTTCGATAAAGGCGCCACAGTGGACCAAGAAAGAGTTACATCAGCAAGTCAATAAGTGAGTAACATTAATTTCTTGTCACCACTGATTCTTGCCTCCTTGTGTAAATAAGTGAAGAATTTAGAAAAAATGTGTTTAAAATAATCACTGACCTTACATTTATGAGAAGAAAAACTTTAGTAAATGGTTCTTAACCATAAAGTTATGACACATCCACAG